TCCTCCTCCTCCTCCTCCGTCGCCCCGTCGTCTTCGCCGTCGTCAATCCCGGCGCGACGTGCGACCCCCTCAGGGAGAAAAGCCCCGCGGCGCCGCCCGCGCATGCGCAGCGCGGCAGCGGGCGCACCGCCCTCGGCGCACGTGATTTCCTCCTGGCGGCGGGGCGCTGTGACGTCGCGCGGGCTGCGGCGGGAAGTTTCGAACGCGGGGAGGGAGCGCGGTGATAGCGGTCGCCATGATCCTGCGCGCCCGCCCGGGACAGGTGGGTAGGACCGGGGTTTTCGTTGGGGCCCTCAGCCGGAGCGACAGCTCTTGGGGGTCGGCTAACGGCGGCGGGTGTCCCCGAGGGGTGAGGTTCTGCGGCGGGGCCGCGCTCCCTGTAACTCTGGGAAGCCCCCGGACTTGTATCTAACGCCGCCGTGCTGAGGGAAATGTTTGTGGCTGATGGGCTAAAAAGGGCTTACCGAGCCTGCTTCGGCTGTGTGGGGAAGGTGGATGTAGCAGATCTGTGTGAACGTGTGGTAGCAGCGTTCCTATTCACCCCTGTTCCCGTGGCGCCCCGTGCCGAGTTATAGTTAGTGTTCGCATTCATCCAGCTGCTTTTCATAGCTAAAGGACTAATTCTATGTCCTTTAAGGGTGTCCATTTCCAGAGTTTTGCACCTTACTAAACACCAGGGGACTGCCAAGAGGGTGGCAGCCGTCAGAAACAGCGTGAATCTCTTTCCCTTCTTAATATAAACTGTTTCTCACTAACCCACAGTGTAAGAGGAGCTGGCAATCTTACCTCGTCTCTTGTGATCGCTTTAGTTGCAGTGCTGCTAACGGATTGAACTGAGGTCGCAAGTGCAGCTCTCTAAACGCAGATGCAAATGGCAGTACTGATCAAATATTATAAGCCAGTGCGTACAGCAGTAAGTCACAGCTTCTGGAGATGAGTTGCTTTTGTAACGATTTGTTCCTGGTTTCATCATCAAAAGCTATTTTAAAAGTTATTGTGATCTAACTTTAAATATGTAGAGGCTTGACTGCATGGGTGACTGGTTTTGAGAGTCAGTCATCTTGAACGTGAATTAAGCATGCATGACCAAGTCCAGAGTCAATAAACTTGTGACAAAATTATTCTGTTAATAGATTCTGTGGTATTTTTTTGCTGCAAGTAAACACGTTTAGGATAATTTGTTAATTCTGAATAGCAATACGATCACTGGAGTTTTCAGAGTTGTCAGCCGTTTGTTTAAATGAGTGAATTCCCGTGAAAGTTAGAAAATATGTTGGCATCTATAAAAAAGCCACTTTTTACCACTAGCCTTTCTGTTAGATTATCTTTGAGGTTTCTCTTCAAAATGCCCACATCATCTGTACCCCACTGTTTTGACGTTGTCTTGCATCTAGCTCTCTTCTTTTGAGGGGGAAAAAATGATGAACTGACATCTGGGTTTTTTTGTCAACACATGTCCTTCACAACTCTGGTGGATTCTGAACATTTCCTTTTCTCTCAGGCTGTATGAAGATGTGAATATTTGTGAAATAAGCTGTTGGGTGACTGTTTTGCCAAAGCGATGGCTTCTCAAGAATTTACTGTAAGTGATTTTTAACACTGTGTACAATTAAGTAGAAATACATTAAAAGACACTGTAGCTGCTCTGTTATTTAAAGTTTCTTACTGATTATTATTTCAACATCTTACACATTTAAAACAGGTATTATACACTCACCAAAAAATGAAAAAATCAAAAACCTGGCAAGATGGAATTCTGAGGATTAGAACTGGTGGAAATAAGGTGAACGACTTTGATTTAATACCATCTGCTACTGCTGGACTGTCAGTGGCAATCTAGTTGATCTGTGAAATAAAATTAGTTATTTAAAATTCTATTTTTTCATTGCAGGCTATCTTGTTTGATGATAAAGGACAATGTTTGGAGAGTATTTTTATAAAATCTCAGGTATATTTTTTTCGGAGTGTTTTTTATTTTTATGCTTGACTGTGGTTTGTGTTTCAGGAAGCATTTCAAACTTTTGCCTGGTAACTAAGGTAGTACTTTCTCTTATTGTGGATATGGAAGACTGCTGCAATGCAAATAATGGAAAGCAAAAACAACTTTATTGATAAGTCTTAATGTTTTTCTGGAACCAGTGTAGAGGTTTTATGGAGTTTTATTCCTTTGGGGTAAAAGCAGTGTATTACAGTGATATATTAAACAAGCATAACTTGAAGCTAAGTGCTAATGCTTTCTCGTATATGTATATTTTAATCTAAGTATTCATATGGCAGCTGTGATATACTGGGTGTAAATTTCTGAAGTTTTTACATACAAGTATTTACAAGACTATATTTATTTAGAAGACTCTTACTTTTTCTTATACAGCACTACTATGTACACCTTGGTGCTTTCTCTTTTCTAGGTGAATGTTGGAGATAATTTAGAAAGTGAACGATACTTGATCACGGTTGAAGCAGTAAAAGTTAATGAAAAATGTTTTGAAGATCAGCCAAGGAAAGCAGAAACGCCAGCAGTGGATAGAAATGGCATAAAATCTGGTGTTCTGCCTCCAAGACATCTGTCTGTTGGGTTGAAACGGAAGTTTACGGTATGTCTTTGTTTCAAAAGTTATGTCTGATGTTAACATGCATTTTAAAACACAAAAGGGACATCTTTTAATGAACAGTAAATATATAGATTATGTCTTCCTGTTTTTTTTGAACTGTAAGCCAGAATGTGTTACCTGTAGCTATTTTTTCCAGAGTCTACTAAATCTGTTTGGTTTAGCAGGATTGGTATTGCTGAGGCTGCAGTGAAAAATTGCAAGGCCTTGAGATTATGTCTATATACCTGTGGAATTGTCATGTGCTTCTTGATCAGAATATATTGTATGGAGCGTGCCCTGTTTTCAGCATTTAATTACAAAACATGGAGTTGATTTCTGAGTAGAATTAATTTACAGTTTCTCCCCTAGGGTTTCCAAGGGCCACGGCAAGTTGAAAAGAAAATATCAACAATGGAAGATGGAGAAAAACCAACAATATTGCCTTTATCTAAGCATTGTCAGGGTACTTTTCCATCCAAGTTTTATGTTACCTCTCCGCTATTTTCTACAATTTGCAAGAAGGATGCAGAAACAAATCTATCTGCAGACTTTCATGAAGATGTGTGTACGGATAATGATGGAGAACATAAGTCTCTCTCGTCACTGCTTTCAGCTCCATTTCTTGGCAGATGTGAGGAGACAGAGAGGCAAAACTCTGATCGGTCCATTGTGAAGCCAGAATCTCCTCCAGTTACTGGGCACACCAAATCTAGGAGTCAGACAGCTGATCACGGGGCAGTGTCATGCAACATCAGGAGCACAGCACAGATAATAGCTCTTTTGGAGTCTAAACCAACACAAGGATGCAGAGATCAAAGATCGTCTGAGGTCACAGAATGTCTTTTTAGGTTTCAGGCATCAGAAAATGCAGATAGTTTATACAGACAAAAAACCACAATCCTACCTGCTTTTTCAGGCAACCCTGCCAAAAGACTCATTCTAAATATTCAGCATTTGCCTTTTACGAAGGGAACTGTAAATGATAAAAAAGAATGGAATGCTGAAATGCTTCTAAATTCACCTGAACAACCTTGTGATAAAGAAGTCACAGGACAGAGACATGACAAAAAGGCATATACTTTAAGTCAAGACTTACAAGATCCCTGCAATACAAATAGTTGCTTCCTACCTGAATCCACCCTAAGTAGAATGAGCGACAGTCAGTTTGTCCCATCCTCAGGTGACATTTCATGTTCAGTAAGTCCAATCACCTTTGAAAAAAATCTCTCCAGATATAAGGAGGATTCATCTGTGAAGTTGCAAAGTGAGCTTCAGCCAAGACAAAATTCAGAAAGAATACCAGGTGACCAGGAGCTCTCTGTGGATGTAACATTGACTAAAATTGGATTTGTAAAGGAGGAATTAAGTACGCATGGTAAAGACTGTGGTCCAGGTGAACAGGTGATGGAGGTTAACTTTAATCTAATGCAGGCTTTTGATTTTAATGACACAGACAATGAAGACCTGTGTGAAAGAGATGTGAATAAGCTCACTGAAGGAGACATGCTTTCACAAAGTCCACATTGCTTAAAGGGAGAAGATGTAGCACAAAATGCTGCATTGAGACTTCATTCTTGCTGTGAAGTAGTGACGCACAGTAAAAACAAAGAAGTCAAATGTTCAACATTTGATGGAGAGAATGGTGGAAATCACTGCACTGAGGGTATACCATCTCAGCTTTGTGACAACGATGTTGGAGATACAGGGAGAACTGCAGAAGACTCTGCAAACCAGACCAGAATTGAAGTGGAACTTTTGGGAAATGGACACAATGTAAGAGAGATTAATGACAGTCAATTAAGTATTGAAGCCACAAACAATAAGAAGGATATTGGTGGCTGTGCAGCGCATACCATTGATGGCACGTCATGGATAAATAGCAAGCACTCTGATCTTTTGCCTGGTGACACAAATGTTAATGAATGTCCCCCTAAAACTAGTATGTTTGAGAAAACTGAAGGTATTTCATGTATTTCTACCAGAGGAATAATCTCTGCAATGGACAAAAGGACTGAAGAAGATGTTGTACATCTTGGATGCATGAAATCCCCAGATGTTGATTTAGAACACTTCTGGGGTACTAGGAGTGATGACATTAAACCAGGTAGTCCTTTGCTGGCTTTGTCACAAAAATCAGAGCCTAGCTATGGCTCATTCCAATATACCACAGAAGGCCATCAAAAGGTACTTGGCATTTCACATAAAGAAGATACTCTCATTTCCAGAAATTCTGTCTATCCTTTAAGAAAAGGCCATTCACCTCTAGAGGAAACGGCAATAGGTGAAACCGAGTTTGAAAATGCAGAGAGCATAAATGCTTTTCATGAAGCCTGCAAAGGGGAAAGATTAGGAATGGATTTCCTGAAATGCACAGCAATGGCTGAAAATTCATCAGACCTTCCTGATTTTGTAAAAAATATCGCTCTTCTAAGAGCTGTGACTCAACATAGTGCAGCATTAGAAAGCTTACAAGAGATAGAGGAAAATAATAGCATATTATATGAAGCAGAGACTTCTGAAGAGATATTTGAATCCCTTGTGAAAGATACAGGTTAGGTCAGCTGCTGTTTTACAGTGAATTCTGTATGACTCTGCCCATTTGACTTATGTACTCTTATCTCTCCTGTTGGACAATTCATATTCAGAAACCATACTTGGGGAGTGATGTGTTATAAAGGTTACCTCATGCAATTTTTAGTGTTTAAAGCAACAATGCGGGCTCCAAGTCTGTGTCTTTGTTTGATTTAGTTCAGTTGAATCCTAACTGTGCAATTATTTGCATGGGTAAGGTTTGCGAGCCCGGTAAATATTCAGATGTTTTCATGTAAAAAGAATACTATAACTGTAACTTATTATGGTTTTCCATCTCTTGTAGCTATAAAACAGTTTACAGAAATGCCTTACTCAGAAAGTATACAGGCATCTTCCTGTTCATACTTTGATTCTTCTGGCCTTATGGTAACCAATTTTTGACTACATATATCTATCTGTACAAGATGAATTAATTTTCCACCAGGCTTCTTGAATAAAATTCTTGGTTTATGAAACTATGGAAGTGGAGCTAGAAATTGCTTAGAGGCATCAACTAAGAAGCTAATAGTAAACAGAAGATGTCCTCTTGCAGACCCTATTGCCAATGAGTGTTCAGGAGGCCTAATGTATGACAAGAAACTTAATGCAAATTGTAGTATTTAGTTATGTTTAATGTCACTAGTATGTCTGGTACTTCTCCTTCCTTACCCCATCTTCTTGTACCATCTATTTTGTCTGTTCTTTCACTATCTCACTATCTTTTTTTGAATGCGTGGCTGTCCTAGGAATTTTAGCACTTGGGTTGAAATATACTTGCAAATCTGTTTGTGCTTCATGCTTCACACTGATTTTTGTCCAATGCTATGGATGGTCTTTTTCTTTCAATCCATCCAAAGTGAAAGAAAGATTTTAGATTAAATTATTCTCTTTTTCCTGTCTCATTTGAAAAGCAAACCTAGTTTCTTATCCTATTAGGGATTGTTCTGGTTTCTAAATAAAAAGGCTGTAATTTAAAATGCTTTCTCTTGTATAAATACAAGAGATTTCGTAGCTTAACTTTTCACTTTAAATGGTTATTAAATTGTTGGAGTAATTAGCTTTTGATACTTGTTTTCTGCAGCCCAACTGTGTGGACAATTTATTACAGAAAACAATAGCAGTGGCCCAAAGAGACCCAGACCCTAGGACACTTGACTGCCAACCAAAGGTACAATTTCTGTGGAACTGAAGTATAATGAATAGTGTTTCTTAAATTTCAAGTCGGTGGTTTGCTGTTTTCAATATATTACAAGAAGTCCTAATAAATATTTAACCAGTCTCATAATGGGCTTCTCATTGCTTTTTAGTACATTAGTGTGTGGGAAGTTTTCCACTGAGAGTTTTAAACTCAAATTTTACAATACAAAAAGACTAAACATACTACTTCAGGATATCGATTTTCTGTTGACAGACCTGTGCAAAAACATTATTGCTGCTGAGTTGCAGGAGTGCAAGAGAAAGAGAAAAGCATAGATTTTTTTTTTTCCCTCTTCTGCAGTTCCAAAAGATTATTTTTGTTGTGTGTAAGAAAAATACCTTTATTGACTGTAGATGGTTCCAGAACATTACTTATTTTCAGTTAATGATGATTCCAATATATTGCATAGCCTGTTGTGTTTCAAGGGCACCAAGTAAAGGGATCAGCAGCTAGTGAGATAATGTTGAGAGCTCCCTGCTCACAGCTAGGATGGCAGCAGTACCCAGATAATATGGAGTTTGCAGCCGAAAGATTTTTGTCACCCCTGTTTTCAAGGAAGTATGTAATTTCTGACTTCAGACAGGTAAAACATTTTTTTCAAAGTTATTCTTACTAACCTTAGTGCAAGCAAGTATCCTGTAAATGTAGGATAAAAGAGAGTTCATTTTTAGAATGCTACAATCATATCAAAATCACTAAGAACTGAATATAGTGCTTTGTGGTTAAAACTCTGCAGTTAGACAATTGTTTTTACTCATCTTTGTCATAGGACTATGCATTTGCAAGATGTAACTTGGTTTTTTTTCCTCCGGTCAGTTTCACTTTGAAAAATGTACATGGTCATAAAGTGTAATAGTAAACAGAGAGAGATTTCTAGAGAAAAGTGGCAGAGGGCTTTTATAATGATTGTTTCCTGGTGTTAGCAGTATAATATTCACCTCAACTGCATTTGAAATTTGGTATATAATTGTTAGAGAGTTCCAAAGCAAGGGTTAAAACTTTCTTGGATTATGATGCTATTCCTCCTGGATGCAAAGAAACATGACATGCGGTGTTAAATAAAGAAATTTTTTTCAAATGCAGTATATATTTCAGTATTTGAAATAATGGAAGAAAATTGATATTTCATTATTTTACTTCCAGAATGGACTAGAGATACTGAAGAATTGTATCTAGAAATAAGATTTAGAAATAAGAGTCACACAAAGATAATACTTATATGGGGATAAACAGTTTAATTTCTAACAAGTTTTTTGTTTATACTTTTTTGGTAAAGTCTCCAGGCTCAAGAAGTCTTCATGAGGATGATACCAACTTTATCAGAGAAGGAAATTTTCAAAAGAAGTCTAACATTATTAAAGAGTCAAGAATAGATCAGCCCTGTAAGTGAAAGTAAAAGTAGAATGGCAGTGATTGGCCTCAGAACAATTATTCCCCACGACTTCTGTCCTTTGCCTATTTTTCCTAGTATTGGCAATGAATGTGTATTCTGAAGTTGCACCATGGACAATGTCAGGCTCACCTTCACGTTCTGATTTGAGACAAACGCAGTGGACTTCATGGGAACCTGACGAGGTGTGAATTGTCTGTTGCTTCTAGATCTTTTTGGCTTTATTTCCTGTGTGTTCATGGTAGCAATTTCTTATTTTTGAAACTGTTTAATCTCAACTCTGAGAGACATTTCAATTGTTTAGAATGATGAGAGAGAAAGAATAGTGACAAAAGAGCTATAATTAAGGTTTTTTCCCAGTCATTCACTTGACATGTTAATTCGTCATCTGTAGATGATTTCGTCAGTAGAACTGACTTCCTCACTTGATCCAGACTCTACAATTTCTCCAGCTTCAGGAAGTGAGGAAACTGTCAGAGACATCCAGGAGCCCCTGATACACAGGATCTTGCCAAGGGAACCAGAACTTTCAGAAATTTTTTTCAGTAAGAAATTACAGTTTATAATTGCACTTTACAATAGTTCTGCTAGAAAATCTTTGAGGACTTTTGAAGCACAGTGAGTTGCACTATAAATGGCAGTTACCCGGGGCACTGAAATACACTGAGATATGTCTGGGTAACTACAGAGTTTGATGTGTGTTTGTCACACATTTTTCATAGGGGGGTGTGTTATTTTTTTTAAGCACGATTTTAAACAGTGTTTTCCAAATCAGCTGAATTAACCTTGAATTCCATGTCTTGCCCCCTGCCCCAATTACATTCTCCTGAAAGAGACTTCGGAAGAGTGATGTAGCTTTTATAAAGAAAAATCAGCTTCTAGTTTGGGGGAAAAAACAGCTGTAACCTAAGCTTATAATTCATACTAATGTTTTAATTTATTTGCCTGCTTTTAGTTTTCTTCTGTATTCAGCTGTCCTCTGACCCCCTTCCAGCTGACACCTATCAATGACTGTCATTTCTTATTGATAGTGAATTTAGTCAAAAGGATGCTTGTGGTACTGGAGGCCTATTTATCCACATTGGTTAATGTTAATTTACACAGTTTTGTGGGTGATCTTTTTGGAAAAAGGAGCAAATGTTAAGCTGTTTGTTTTCCAGTTGGCAGTTGTGACTGACCTACCAAGAATATCAGATTAATGACCTCCAAAACACAATAATGCTTAAATAATTTCTACCGAACTCTTTCTTTTATACAAGTAGCATGCCTACAGAAATGCATTCTGAATATAGGGATTTAAGTAGTAAAAGAATCACAGTTGAAATCACTCATGTCGTATGGAAATTTGGTGTGGTACTGCAGAGGCATGATACAAAGAGCTTGCCAATTAGAAGACAGGATGTAAAAGGAAGAACTTGGAATTCTTTGCTTGTCTTAGTTTTTTGTACCTCTGAAGTTAATGTGCCATCCCTAAGTGCTACAAGTTGCTTGTAAGATGTATTTGCCCTACAGCACAAGAGAAACCCAGAGATCCAGAGGAAGGCAACTTCTCAAGATTCAAGCCCACAGTTAAAACACGAACTCCATTTGTCACTCTTCCGGCCACTGAGAAGATCTCTGACGCAGTTTATCCAACTGACAGAGAGGAGGTCCAGCGATCTTTTGGCTCTTCAGCAGTCCATTTAGGCAACAAGTCACCGGTATTTCCTATTAGTGCTTTTGGCCCTGAGGACAGAAATTATGAAACCTCTGTGTTTGGAGAATATATGGAAGACAGAGAAAGGGAATCCGTACAACCAGTGTTCCCTAATGTGACTGCACAATATAGACAAAGCAAGTGGCTAAAATACCAAAACAGGGCTCAGTGTGACTTGATAACTCAAAACAGCGATGATGGGGAAGTGACTGATGACATCTGTGCTGAGGACATCCTTGGAATGCCGCTGGGTGACACAGGAGAGAGCAGTGCTGTGAATAAAAGTGCTCCCGGCTCTGCACCTCTACTGACAGCAAAGAGCATGCTTGGTAAATGCTGTGCAAATACCAGCAATCAAGATTTGATTTCAGAGAGGAAGTTACTTTCTCTGCACTTAAGTCAGACACCTTTGGCTGAAGCAACACAAAAGGTGTTAAGTCATCTGAGCTGCCACACTGTAACAGGAGATGGCCAGGTGTGTAACTGTTCAAGCAAATACAGTTGTAAGTGACAGAAACACATTTTTCTGGACAAAGTAACTACGTTTATCTGATTTCCTGCAAGATATTATCAGTATGATTGGATGAAATGTTTCTACATACATAGTAACACAAAAGAGGCTCAGCTACAGAACAGCAGCCGCTAATGTATTTTTTTAAGTGCCGTGACTAATCCTTTGTAAAGGTAATTTTTTGGCACACATAGTGCCAGATTTAGATTTTTAATCTGAATGTTGATGGCAGGAAGATGAAATAAAAGCTGTTGGGCTGTTTTGTCACCTATAATTGGTAAGAATGTGTTTTCAAGAAGTATTTTTCTTAATTGTGAAATCAGCATTTTTTTAATGAACACCCGTATCTTGCTTCAAAGCATAGTCTCTGATTTTAAAGTATTTTAAAATTCTTTAGTTTTAATTGAGGAAAAGTAAGTTATGGCATTGAGTAAGCACCTAACAAATTAGCACAGCTGTTTGTGACCAGTAGACTGTCTTAAACAAATGGAGTAAATTGGGAAAAAACCCAAACCAACCACAAGTCAAGTTTTAAGTCGACAAATGGCTGTGTTTGAGAGTTATTGAAAATGTTAGATTTTCCTCTTTTTTTTTTTTGACACAAACTTAGTATGCTGTGTTTTCTAGTTCTTTACAACTGTACAGTAAAATATTCATGTGAAATAGAGGTGGGCAAATAACTAGTGTATTTCATATACACACTGGTATACACATTGTGTGTGTTTTTATATATATATATATATATATAAAATCCATGTATGTTGCATGTTAAAAAGCTTATGATAGGAGTTATCATTATGATGTCCACTGCAGTGTAGATGGAAGAATCTCCTCAGGACTAGCTGGGATGGCAGGCACAGGGATAGGTTGTGGTGTGCACAGTTTCCTCCAAAGCTCTTTAGTCTGGTTCTTCCTTCCCTAACCTTGTACTACCTTTGCTATAGTTTCATCTGATGGATTTATTTCTGTGCAGAAATGGTGTTAAAAATGGGGTTTATGTGCTCCTTCCCATGTCTAGGGCTGAAAACATGATTCTGAATTACATCATTTACTCTAAAGCCTTTGAAAGTATTGTCTATGTTACTATAAATGCAGGCTGTTTGTCAAGGGGCAAATTTTAACTTCATGGTACATCCTAAATGGCAGTCCAAGCTCTATGCTATAGCTCCAGGTATACTTAATTTTACTCCTATTGGCAGTTGGATTGTATACATGCTCCTGTACTTACGGTTAACAAAGCCAGCAAACATTTGTGGTGAAGGGGATTTGTATTTTGCTTTTAGAAAACTGATTCTTTATTGACAGTCTTCATGTTCAAACTTCTGGTTGCAGAATGAGGCCCTGAATTTTTTCTGTTTAGTTGTACTTACTAATGAGCCACAATATAGAAAAGCAAAAAAGGAAAAAGAGAAGAAAAATGGATAGGTTTTGGCTTATCTGTACAGTAGCCATTTATCAAAATTTGTCTCATTTGGGGCTTTGCAAGTTTTAATGGTTTATTTTTCTGTTTTGTAGGACATAACGATTTCTGAGTTGTCTTTTCCTAATGTGGATAAAGTAAAATATACTAATCTTCCTAAAAGAAAGGTTTCCATACCAACTGTGTTTCAGTCGCATGTTCACTACAAACAGATATTTAAAGCTGCTCTGACAGGTATGTCTAACACCATGCTATGTAAAATGCTGTCATTATTAAACAGCGTATTTCTGAAGCTTCACAAAGCAGGATGAGAAGGAGAGAGATAGTCAACATCAGCTATTGGAACAACTGCGCGCATTTGGTTTTGGATATATATACTGAAATATATTCAGTCTATACCCAAAATTGCAAAGGCAAACCAAAAGGCCAGTATGCTTCTGTTCAACTATGTAACCTTGTGCCTGTTTACAGGTCTTTGGATTCCTATATAAGCCCCGCCCCCCCCCCCCCCCCCCCAGTTATTTAGTGTTTGGATTGTTTGGAGTCATATACTTAAATGTGATTTGAATGAAAGTAAGGCAGTTAGAACAAATTAATTGCATGTGCAATATGTGAATTTTGCAGGTCACATGGTTTCTTTTAGGACTCAGACTAACTTTTGATTTAGATTTGGAATTGAAAGTTTGAAATGAAAATGTATTTGTTTGAATGTTCTGTACTTGTGTAATCATTTTAAGGCTGTACTAATTATTCTTTTATTCTCCTCCCTATGTCAAGAGCAATTAAACATAATGCTATTTGAGTTGTCACAAAGATTATACAATGCTCTTTCAAAAGTGGATACATCATTTCACACTTCATTAAAAGATGGGCAAAGTGAGAGCAAAGAAAGCTGCGTTCCACTCTGCAATCACATGCATCCTGCTAAGCTTGTTATGGTTAAAAAAGAAGGCCAAAACAAGGTGCTGTTTATTCCTTATTTGTTTACAGTTTGGGGTGTTAGTTTGGCATATAAAGACCATATTGTGTGAACAATTGCAGGTTAAAGTGATGTGTTAAAGAGATCCTTTTTAAGGTGAGTTGTAGTATCCACTAGTGTCCAGTATTGTTGATGTAATATTTTTTTCCATACAGAAACAGCTTTATATATGTAGAGAGAAACCCCTGAATTTATAATTTTCTAGGTTATAAGGGATTTTTGTCAGGTATGATTACACACACTGGTTTCAGGAGCTGAGAGTTTTGGGAACACACTTGTGTTTTTCAGTGAAACACAGTGAAAACACAGGTGTTTATCTGATGATTTCTATAGCAGTGAGTACTGATCCATTGCTTTACTTTTTTTTTTTTAATTGTTTGTTCTAATGTGCTGACGGTCTTTTTTTTCTTTTCCTTCTTTGCCCCCCTCCCTCCCTAGGGTCGTTTGTTCTATACCTGTGATGCCCCAAAAGCTGAGCAGTGTTCGTTTTTCAAGTGGATAGAAGATGTGAACCCCGCACAGATAAAATCCAGACCTAGTGTAGTGCTTCATGATATAAAGAGTATTGGGACATACCTCAGAAGTCAAAAGATTTCTCTCTATGAGGGATGCCAGCTTTTGGTGAGGTATTCTGAAACACTGTGCACTTTTCACAAGTGCTACGTGAATTGCAGGATTATTTATAAATGTTCCAGTAGCTCGGGATTTCAGTAGCATTTAACAGCAGACAGTTTCACTAAGTATGTTTAAAGAGGCTACAGTTCTGTGTAGAAATGTAAAAGCCACATTAGCTAAGGAATAGTATTCACAGCAATGGCATTTCAGGTCTGTGTTCTTTTCAGCAAGAATCAACACTGCTTACCAGCAACTTGATTAACTGCTTAAGGAAATTCCTTATGATCGTTGCATTTGAATTACTGTTCGTTTAATCTTGCGTGATAGAATTTGATTTATTCTCTTGGTGATTCCAATTTTAATGTTAGAAGTTGTATCAAAGGCTATTCTGTGCTGCTTAACTATAGGGGAAACAATTTAATTATGGCTGAATATGAGAGAAGTATTTTGCAGTGAAGATACATGTATTTAAAACTTGGTAATGCAAGATGATGAACAACCACTAAGATCTGTGCTGTATAATTTGGTCCAGTCTGTAGAGCTTTCTTATTTTTGGTGGTGAATCCAAAATGTGCCAATTGTTTACATACTTTTTCTTAAAATTGCAATTTAACAGGAAAGCCTTCGAAATTCAAACACAGCGGTGTAGGAAGTTCAAGAAAATGATGAATACACCTGCCAGGTTTGATGGCGATTCCAAAACCAAATTATACCTCAAACTGAGCAGAAAGGAGCATTATTCTCTCTATAGCAAAGGTAAACAAATCTTAAGCATCAGAAGAATTGTCCATGTCATGTTGTGCCTTTTGAAAGTTTTAATTTGTAATCTAAAGAGAAAAACTGAATCCTGTTTTTCAACTCCTGGCAACCCTGATCGTTCAGTTCTCATTCTAGAAAGGCAATGAAGTGTCTCATTAATTCATCTTTTCTTGTAAACGTTCAACTACCTTAGAGAAATATATAAATTCCATATCCTTGGGTTTGGAGTGTATTAAATCTTTGAACCGTGACGTTTCAGGAAAGCCCAGTATTCAAGCAGATGATATTTAAGGAAAACTTGATGTAAATCACTGAAGTGTCACAAAGTTGGAGGACATTCAGTGGTTTGATCCAGATATTCTCAATAGTTCATTTCACTTCAGTAATTTTTTAATTGATACCCATATTTTTATATTTTGTTCACTTTACTGTTCAAAATTATACAAAAGAATTTAGGCAGAAGCAAACGTGTTGTGCACACTTTACGTACAGAATGAAATGTTCTAACAAATCAGGGTTTTGTAACTATAAATTCTGAAGCTCTGCATGGGCAAAACTTTTACTTGTGTATGATAATTTTTTGATCATTTTTGTTACAGGCAAATACATATTATTGCTCCTAACTTTGAAGTCTCCCTTGCTGTGCTCTGCAATATATGATATAGAAATAGTGTAGTGAGCTTTAGTCTCATCAGCTGTGCTAAATAGAACAGAACATTTGCAGGCTCCAGTATGTGTTGGTTTTGAAAGGGAAGGGAAAATGTACATTTATTTCAGTACTTGCTGTTCTTTGGCAAAAGTGTAGTTCACTAGATTTGTAGAGTTCTTCAGTGATTTGTTCCAAATACTCTCAAAATGGATAATACTTCAGATTTGCCAGAAGTCAAATGCTACTAAGTGCACCAGGAGAGAACTTTAGAGTTACCATCAATTTCAGACAGTAAGTACTAGAAGAATTGCAAATTACATATTCATTCTTTTAGAACTGAACTAACACTTAGTTAGGACTTTCTAATACCCCCTGCTTTCACATTAGCGGTGGTTTAATTTGCAGCATAGTAAATGCTGAGGTATTTTGTCCAGCTTCATTTTCTTTAAAAAACAGCAGTAGAAGCTTATGAGAACTCTGTATTTTTTTTGACAGATGATATTTGGGTTGTTTCGAAGACTTTGAACTTTGATCCCCTTGATACTTTCATTGCATGTAGTGCTTTCTTTGGACCATCCTCCAACAATGAAGTCGAATTACTACCACTGAAAGGCTACTGTCCCTCAAACTGGCAAATGAATAGTGAGTTCTACACCAAATAATTCAGAATTGCGGGAAACAACTATTGAGGGAAAAATCTGGCCAGCAATGAAGGACGAGATTAGAATTTATCAAATCTAATACATTATTTTATTCATAGTATTTCTTTTCCTTTATTTTTGAATATGTACTTTGAATGCATGAGTAGTTAATGCAATTAAACCTGCAAAGTAGCTGGTAAGAAATTCTAAATGGGTGATGAAGAAATGAGGGTAATATAAATAATGTAGTAAATAATATAATACAGAATGCAAATTGACTGTCAGAGTGTAGGTAACAGGAATTTGTTGTTACTGTCCTTGAAAAACAAACGAACAGAAACCCCAAAAAACTCACGATGGAAAATTTATATTTATATAAAAAGCAACATATTAAATCTGATTTGGCTGTCCCAACATTCCTTTCTGTGCCCTTGTTACAGTCTAGAATGACTAAAAAATTTGTGTTTCCAGACTCAGTAAAAGCAAATCTGTGTAGTTTTAGTGATTTTAATCATTGTACTTTAAAAAGAAAATATAGCTAAACCTAGCATTGGTGGTTTTTAATGAACTGCTGACCTTTTTATTCTTTAGCAAGCTGTTCCCAATTAAGTTGCAGCCACCCTTCTTTTTGGTTTTAACATTTTTGTTTGGGGTATTTATGTAATATTTTGTCATCACTGTTTTGGAAACAGTAAGGTTAGCAGGCCTTAAGTGCAGAGAGAAACAGTGGGAGTCTGCTATAGATGTCACGGAAAAATGACAAATGTGCAGCATTTGTCATCAAAATGTGTGCGTTTTGCATCAAACATAATGCAAAAGCTTTTTATTTTTGCTCTTGAATTGAGCTAAAGTTTAGTTTGTTTTTTTTTTAAAGAAAAAGATAAAGAATGTATTATGTAGTCATTCTGGAGCTAGTAATAATATACCTCTGCTTACTTTCTTTTAATGCAATATGAAAATCGTGTGCTTGATCGCTAAAGGCTTTATTCATAGCACTTAACCTTAAACAGCTAAGTTGAGTGTTTTAAGTTAACAAATTAGTCTTTTTAGGCTTTCTGTGTAATCAGTAGGGAGAGAGTTCCTGCAAAGCACAATTCAGTGAGTCTACATCAAACTGTTCTGAATTACATTCAGAAGACTAAAAAATAGAGAGAAAAAAAATACAGAATGGCACACAAGTTCTTTGTGGGCATACATGCTGTCAAAATCATGGGCTTCAAATGCAATTGGAGATTAAGTTTTGTTTGTTCCCTGACTGTGAGTTGCAGGACTGGATCTATTGAGCAGTCAGGGTCTGGAAGAGTTAATATATAGGTTTTCAGTCTTAATGCTGTTGAATCACAGCATTTTAATTTTTTTTAGGAAATTTTTGGTCCTAACTCTTTGATCATAAATACAGATTATTTCATAATTCTATAACCATTACAAATCTAAAACCCTAAGTTATATGCAAATAAAGCTTTAAGTAATGTTTAGTTGTAGGCAGCGATAAACAACAGCAAAATAGAGGTATGTGGGTTACTAAACATATTAGAAACCTGTTACTTAGGCAATCCCTGAGCCGCAGAACGTTAAGAAACTGGCAGTGAATACAGAAAAATATAATTGAATACTTGTTCTGTTCTTATACCCTCCCCTAGGCATCCACTTTTGTACGCTTTGGAAATAAGCTAGGTGGAACTTGAGTCTGGCCCATTGGAGTTGTTCTTATGTTCCAGTCTTTTTTAAGAAAGCATCTGCTTAGCTATTGTGATACAGATGGTTTACTTAGAAAACTCACCTCCTAAATTCCAAAGTCTTCTAAATACCTCGAGTGTTTCTAAAATGAGTACGGATTTTTATTAAGCTTCCTTTCCAGAAGGTTTCTAATGTTGGAATCACAAATACTTCAGAATAACACACCTTGAAAAGAAGGGCTAATAGGGCTCTCCTCATCTATAATATTCAGTCAGACATGGTAATTGGGTTAATTTGGCTTCTGTTACAGGAGGCTAATGACTCTTTTGGCATTTTGTAATTCATTTTTCTAGCTGATTTGAAGTTTGGGCTACTTTAATTTTTTTCTAATTTTATTTTTCTGTGCCCTTTTCAGCGTTTGTTCATGCCTTGCTGGTTTGTAATGCTAGTGGTGAGCTTACATCTTTAAGAAATATGGAGGAGCACTTCAATCCATCTACATTACCACTAGTACCATACCTACTAAAAATGTAAGTTACGGTTTCAGTGATACTGTGAACATAGAATATGTCAGTAGGTACAGAAAAAAACACAACAAAAGTACCATTGAGTTTGCCCTATTAAAAAGTGGATGAGGAAAACTAAAATCGGAAAACCAGTGCAAGGAATGAACTGTTGACAATGCAACTTTTAGTTATGCGGAAATGAAAATATATCGGTTGCTTCACTCTAACTCGATTGTAAGGGGGTTTTTTCCTTAAAACTTACCTGCAGCCCATGTTTTACAACCTAGAGATTAATATTGGGCATTATTATGATCATAAGACTGATAGTGCAGTCACCGACTGATCTGTATTAAGTTAATGTATATGCTTCACAGGGGTTCAGTGGAACTGTTTTTCCTTCCCAATTTTTAGAGTCACTCGACACAAAACCTAAAAATATTTTCTCAACAAGTCGGAGCAATATAGGGATATTTCCAAGAGCTGCTTATGATTCACTGTATAAAACAAGTAATTAAATGAATCTCTGCTACCTCTGTGTTCTTCTACCACTCTTAATTCTGTCAGTCTCATGGCCTTACAGTAAGACAGACTGTAAGTGTTAACATACAGCAAGAATGATAAAACCCAAAAGCCTATTTCATATGATCCAGCTTTCACCCGGGGAAGTAATAAGGGGTAGGAATATACAGCTCAGGTGTATGTCAGGGTGTAGGGGGCAGCAACTTTTAATTACATCAGCTGTTAATCACAAAGCCTCAGCATTTCAATGTCAGGTGAGTAAGAATATCAGAACTATGAGATACAAATTATACATATGCAGTATTATACTGCAACTTTTGACCATTGTGTTTTTCTTAGGAATTTTGATTCTAAAAATGCTACTAATAGAGTCAACAAAAGAAAATTTATTCCACCTGCCATCAGTCTGAAACGCACAATGATGTATGGACCTGTCAGTACTGAAGTGGCAATGGGACTAGCTGAAAAGATGATCGAAACGTTCTCGTTGAACCCAGATCAAGCTACATCACTGATTCAGATAGCTCAAATGATGACCTCATGTGAAAATATCAAACCAGTGGAAGAACATCAGAACTTCCCTATCACAATCATACGTGGTATGAAGCAAATAATTGTGAAATTTGCTGCTATTGTATCTTTCCAAAATTCTAGTTAATATGTGATGCCAGTGTTAGTGAAAAATCCCTAAATTCTCTCAGTGATGAAACAGTAGAGTTGTTTTCTTAAGCATATAGTTACAATTCCAGGCAGACTTAAAGGGAGATCATTATGTCTAGGTAAATGTTGACTTATTTTGAATGTAGCACAAAAGATGAGCTTGAATAAACTGCCTCTGTGTATGGAATATCCTTTTATACTCCTTTGTAACGCTGCTGTCCTCATCTACTCTATGCATTTCCTGAAAATTCATTTCTTGGATGAGGCCCCTCTGATAATGACCTTGACGTTATAACATCCATTCTATCAGCAGAGAGCTTTTGATCCTTGAATTTGCATTCAGCCTTTTGCAGGATTTTACAGAGTTCTTTCCTAGCAAGATCTACACAAAACCAGAGTTATTTACTGTCTTCTGCTTATTTATTTTCATATTAAACCCACGTTTTGTCATGTATCAGCTTTGCTAAATTATCATATAATTTTTTTTCTGTTACACATTATTCCTTGCTGTTTTCTACTTTCTTCTATCTTTGTTTTATCCCTTTTCGACATGTACAAAAAGGCTAGTAACTTCTTAGTTCAAAGATTTTTTTTTTTAAATCAGTATTGAAAAGCAGTTACCATAAACGCGAGTTTTCAGATCCTGTCAAAGTAAATACGTTGACAATAATGCCACTCTTAGTACAGATATCACTAGACTTAAATTGCGTGACCTTTTGTTAGGCTGTCAGGCACATTAATGTAGTTGAAATTATTAGTCATTCCAAGATAATTATCTCCCAAATTCCTTATTCTGTACCTCAGGACATGGTATGAGGGATGTGCATGCAGATACTTGTATTATTTTAATGTGTTGATGAGACTCCTCAGCAAGTAATGCATGTATTCAATGAGAAAATTGAGGAAAAACACCTTAGCTTCCCCTCTTCTGTAGTTTTTTGTAAACTTACTGCAGGCAGTAAATGCAAAGTGTAAGAAACTGATTGCCCCTGGATACTTAGAGCTGCTGAAGCAAGCACGTGCAATGTTTTGACGGGAATCCCAGCATAATATTTCATAAGATAAACTTAAGTTATAACAATTGATTAGAACTGTACTTTCTGGAAAATTTCCCTGTGTAACTTTGGCTTTTTCTTCCAAAATACCAGGTGTTTTTGGGGCTGGAAAGAGCTATTTGCTGTCCGTTGTGATTTTGTTCCTAGTCCAGCTCTTTGAAAGCAGTGAAGCTATGGAGGGTCCAAGGCCAGCTCCATGGAAACTTCTGATTGCTTCTTCCACTAACGTTGCTGTTGACAGGATACTGCTGGGGTAGGTTACTGAGATTTTTACAGACTATGGTTCCAAAAACAATAATGCACTTATACGGTAAAGATAAATGTGTTGATATTTCCAGTGTAACGCTCCAAAAAGATTGCATTCTTTCCCTAGAAAGTGTCACACACGGGCTTTAATTTTACCCTTGCTCCTTTGTACAGCATGCGTATGCTAGAAGACTGTAAGGTTAGCTGCATGAATTTACATGAGACTAATATTGGGCTGTAGTCTCATCAGATTTACTACTAAAATCCATCACAACAGAAAGTAGTATTGCTCAGGAATCTTTTGGAAGTAGCAGTGGGGGCAGGGGAAGGAGGAATAGAGAGGGAGAGGCAGAGTCAGACTTGGGAAGCTTCAGCATGAAGCTAACATGAAATACAATTCATGGTTTGGAAGGATAAAGGAAGGAAGGGAAAGTACAAATGGAAGACTATTTATGAGGGGAGGATCATAAAGGCATTAAGCGTTTTTGAGACAAATCATGATGAGGTAATTTCCTTTGATTTACTTGAATTGTGGCCCGAGTTATTTCATCTGGTTAATCGCAGAAGTTTGTGTTCTTCAGTGTTCTGATGTGTCTGTTAGCCTTTTTAGAACCACTTCTAAATTTTTCAAAATTTCTTTTTACATTTTTGTAACATGTATCTTCTCTTTTTCTTTGAAGTCTACTTGATCTTGGATTTGAGGATTTTATCAGAGTGGGAAGTATTAGGAAAATCACGAAAGCAATTCTTCCCCATAGGTAAGAATCTTAATCTTTCAGGGATCTGTAGCGATTCTGAGATTCATGATAGTATGCATGCTGTAAAATTACTATTTTGAACTAATTAAAAATGTGATTGTAATATGCCTATCTCAGGATTGTGTCTGTCATCACCCTGCGTCCGCCCCCGCACAGTGGAGAAAATTTACCTTGATTTGGGAATGTCACTTGCTGCTGAATAGAGCTATGCTTTTAAATGGGAAGTAGTAGACTTCCCATTAAAACTGCCAGAATAATGGTAGTTGCAGATTTGAGAGTTGACATAAGGAGGAGAAGCAAAACAAACAGACTTGAAATAGATACGTACTGCTCTAGTGATAAGAACTAGGAGGAAGTAATCATAAATTTAATGTGCGGAGAATTAATAGTAACAACTCACGAATGCTGTACTACTCGCCCCAGTTATCTTTGCTATAGTGTTCTGGGGTTTGTCTTTTAACTATTTAAAAGTAAGCAATGTGCATGATACTTTCAACACAATTTGAGAGAACAAAGTAAAGTTCAAGATGAACAAAGATTAAATTTCCATTCCTTGGTGTCAGTAGCATACCAAGGATATAAAATGGTATGAGAATGAAAAACTTCTCAGTTCTACTCCACTCTGAAATCAGCTGTGTACTTGGAGAAGTCATTTACTACATGTATGTGTCTGGCTGGGGTGGTAGGGTCTGAGCTGGTGGAATAAAGTTCTGTTTTAAAACAGGTATTACACTAGTCTATCTCAGCTGGATTTGGGATAGGTTAGTACTTGTTGTGAAGTACTGTCATGTATGATTATTTTTCTATATTGGGTGTTCACCGAACACTGAAAGCACTGTTATTTTCAATCATTGTAATGCATGTTATAAAATCTTTTTGAAGTTTACATGCTGGCTCAGGAAATGAAAATGAGCAGTTAAAAGAGCTGCTTGCTCTCATGAAAGAAGACTTAACTCCAGTTGAAAAAATATACGTAAGGAAGAGTATTGAGCAACATAAACTGGGGACCAATAAAACTATACTGCAACAGGTACAGTCAAAGTGACGGGATGGGAGAGTGGGGATTCGCTACGTCTTATCCGCAAGGCCCAGCAAACAGAAACTGGGAATCCCCTCTCACACCTGCCAAGCTCCTAGTTTTGAAAAATAAAATGAATGTTAGGACTAGGATAGGTTTGATTCCACAGGTATAGCTTAGTGTCTTACCTGTATATGACTTCGCTGAGTTGAACTTGCAGTTCCTGTTTAGTGATCAGGAGCCCTTTTTGAACTTCATTGTAATCTGATTTAATATTACCAATCTAGTTTACACGGCAGGGAGAGAAAAATCTCTGAGCACAGCTAGTCTGCACTGTCACCTTGAAACTAAAATTTTTGTACTCATAAAGGCAAAAGATAAGGACTGAGCTAAATCTATCCTAGAGTTGAGTATCAACTGCCAAGAGGATTTCAAATGTATTTTAAGTAACTTTTCATCCAAGTATTACCTTTTAGGATTACTACTTCCTGTAGAAACATTTTCTCAATTTCTGGTCTTTCCAGTTATTTGCCTTTTCTCCTCAGTCCTAGACTCAAAAAAATCCCCTCTTGTTGTAGAGCAATTGTAACAAAGCAGATTTGAGCAATTTGTTTCTTGTGCTTATTCCCAGTGGTCAATGCTGCCACTTTTGCTGCTGGGGCTCAGAAGGTTTTGGAGGTGTAATCTGAACTCTCTCTGTACCAGACCAGATCTGGTCTTAAAATACATGAATCAGTGAATGGCTCTAATGTATAAACACTGCAAGCATAAGAAATGGTAACCTTGGATCCATCTCTGTGCATACACAGGGCCTTTTACTGGAGGTTAGAATATAATTTTTTGAGACCCAGCCAGCATGACACAGCATGTAGTAGAAGTGCTAAAAATTAATTTAGGTGTATTCTGCCACCACAGCTATAGTTATGCACTGCACAGAGATTGACTATTAAATGACCTTAACTTTTTGTCTGCCCATTTTCCCCTCACTAATACCGAAGGTGAAAGTGGTTGGAGTGACCTGTGCTGCCTGCCCGTTTCCTTGTCTGAATACTCTTAAGTTTCCTGTAGTGATGCTGGATGAGTGCAGTCAGATGACTGAACCTGCTTCTCTCCTTCCTATTGCAAGGTACAGCCTTCCTTTTGTGTTTCAGCAGAGAAATAACTCTTAGTTAGCAGTGACACAACCTCAAATAATTGCCAAGCTTGCACATCTTTTTAAGAACATGAACTCCAAGGTCTCACCTTAGAAAGGAAGAAGAGTAATTTTAAATTGAGGCCTGCTCTTAGGTGCCTTCCTTAAGTTACCATGTTATTTTAACTGTGGAAAGAGGGTGATGGACAAGGGAGCCTGATGGAAAGCAACCTGTGATATATAAACACAACACATGCTTTTGTTATGAATAGTCTGACATCCTTTTTAGAACTTTTTTTTTAAAACATTCTTATTTAGGTTTCAATGTGAAAAGCTAGTCCTTGTTGGAGACCCTAAGCAATTACCACCAACTATTCAAGGGTCTGAGAGTGTTCATGAAAAGGGATTGGAGCAGACTCTCTTTGACCGCCTTTGCTTAATGGTATGTACTACCAACCACATCTTTAGAAAGAGGGAGGGTGAAATTGTAGGTCCACTGAAGTCACTAAAAGAGTTCTGGTTTAGATGTCAGAGTATCAGTGTTTCAGCCTGTTTTTCAATTAAGCATTCTAGTGCATTTCTCTGTAAATGTTATTTTCACAATGCAGGGAAATTTGTAAGTATAACAAATGTGAAACAAGAATGGACTGAAAAACAGTAACAGATTCCGCCTTCTGATCTTTTTGTGCAGTTTTCAATCCAGGTAAAAGAATCGGGGGCTACAGTATTTGTTCTAACTTTTGCTGAAGTGAGTGTATGAAGGTTAAGCCAGCTTACTGCAGGAATTGTTTCCACTTATTTCTTGTTTGACCTAGGTGGCATTGCAAAATATTTAGTTACTCTTTTTCTTAGTCACACTTTCTATATCATACTTCTTTAGGGACATAAACCAATACTTCTTCGGACACAGTACCGATGTCACCCTGCTATTAGTGCCATAGCCAATGAGCTGTTCTATGAAGGAAATCTGATAGATGGTGTTTCTGAGAAAGATAGAAGTCCTTTATTGGATTGGCTTCCAACGCTATGTTTTTATAGTGTTAATGGGGTGGAGCAAGTAAGTTTTTAAACATTTCTTAAAAAGTCAATATTGTAGTTTTTCCTCTGTTCTGTTTCTTTTTGCATTCTGCTGTTTGTGAGAGCTAAATTGGAATTCTTCTTCCCTAATTTCAGATTGAGAGAGACAACAGCTTTTATAACGTGGCAGAAGTTCATTTTACAGTCAAGCTCATCCAGTCTCTGATTGCAAGTGGAATAGAAGGATCTGCAATTGGTGTGATTACTCTTTATAAATCACAGATGTGTAAGGTTTGTGTAATGTATCATCAATAAAACAGTTTTCTTAAATGTATTTGTTTATTCTAAACATAGGCTCCGTTTCAACTAGGAAGAGTCAACAAGAAGTGAGAAACAAATGCTGGATAGGTAAACTAGAGTTTACCGTAAGTTCTCTTTCTTATTTAAAAAAAATAAAAATCTACTTTTTTTTCCTCTAAAATTAGTCAAAATCTTTTCATTCAAGCAGATGATTAAAAAAACCAAACTTTCCATTTGTTTTCCTTCCACGTGGACACTCAGAAAATTGGCAAATTAAATAGTATATAATTTTCATAAGGAAATCGGGGGCTGCTACAAACTGGTATGTGTGACAAGGACAGGTAACAGAGGTGTCTGCTTAGCAAGGTTGCAGTTGTACCTCACCCAGTCATCATCCAAGGCATGACATGGGCTGCTGCGATTAGTAAGCGAAAGTACTGGTTGCCACACTGAATGCACCAGCGTTTTGTCAAATACAGGTTCGTTGCGTAGCATTTTCCTGTGATTAGCTGAGGTTTTACTGTCGTCGTACCCTCTAGTTTCTTAGTTCGCATCTTGTGTAGACTCAGATTTGTTGAGTGTGTTTGCTCAAAACAAGTGATTGACTGAGTAGCATAACTCATCACCATCCGTATTCCTTTTGTCTACAGATTCAGAATTTGCTTAGTGGCGTACACTCTGAGGCTTTTGAAATTAAAGCTGTCCAGGTGTCCACTGTAGATGCGTTCCAAGGAGCTGAGAAGGAGATCATTGTTTTGTCATGTGTAAGAACAAGACAAATTGGGTTCATAGACTCGGAAAAGAGAATGAACGTTGCACTAACGAGAGCAAAGAGGCATTTGTTGATTGTTGGAAATCTGGCCTGTTTAAGTAGGAACAGACTGTGGGGAAGAGTAATTCATCACTGCAAAGGTAATTATTTTCTTCTCCTGTATTTCTGAAACCATGCAGCTCATCTTCTTTAATTAAACTATGTATTATAGCGTATATAAACTATATAACATATAAAGTATATAGTATGCATACTATATAAAACAGTATATTTATTACATGTAAAATAGGGTATATTGCAGGAAAATGCAAGTATTTGCAAGTGTGCGAGTTGCATGTTTGCAGTGTTATCTGCAAACTGGTTTTATACTTGAAGGGCGTTTGTTATCCAGTAACAGGACTTATTTTTCTTCTTTTGATGCCATCAGATAGCTACACAAAGAGCACACTAGTAAGGAGAGCTGAAACCCATTACTGCATTCCTAGTCCTTCACAGTTTGCTTTTACGTAGCAGACCCGGGTAGAAACAAGTTACAAACAAATTCTTCTATACAGCAGTATTTCTGAATAGGTAGTACTTAAATAAAGGCGAGAAAAATGCATAGCATCTTTCTGCAACTAGAGGCTCGTTGTTTTTGGAAGATAAATTTTGAGCTGCTAGAAAAAAACCCAGTGCTATTGGAGATAGGTAGGGGAGGGGGTAGGGCCTAACCTTAGCAGATACTCCACAGGGAGCGCTCAGTCTCTAAAGCAGCTGGTAACGAATCACTGCAAGAATAGGTACCGAAAGAGTAATCATTTTATTTACCTATTGGTTGACATCAAAGTTGGATTCTGAAGAAGAACAATTTTCAAAGTAGAAATATTATAGCCATTTGATAGGCTTGGGGAAATAAGATGCTTGCATCACCACAGACTAATTACACGATGGATGCTGTAAAGCAAGATGTAATTATCCTGTTTATTGCTGCTTTTAGGATGGGAAAATGGATTACAACACATAAGCCAGTGTGAGCAGCAGCTAAACGACATTCTTAAGTGTTATTTGGAGAACCGAAAGGAAAAGGAACAAAATAAGAAAAAGGAAAAATAAAATGTGTGCCTATTTTGTGAAGAAATTATGAATTGCGTGTGTAAAAATTATCAGAAGGATGGCAAATCTAATATTTATAGTTAATGTGGGAAATTTTTGTTTGTATCTCAGTGCACTGATCCTTCTGTTTTGACCCTTGTTTGTATGACTAAAAATGAATAAAGTAACTTTATCTGCTTGATAACTGAAATCCTTTTATGCTTACAAAGTACCTAATTGTATTATTAGTGTTTCATTATTCTTCAGATAAGATACACACGTAACACCATCTCTTAGAACAATTCTGTCATCTTGCATATTTACAAATGGGTGACATCTGGGAAGGAGCATGGCTAAAACAATTAAAAGGATAATTAAAACATAGAGTAATTTCTTCAAGAAAAATTACATGTCCTTGGTCTATTAAATCCTGAAATGTCAGCAGAACAAAATGAGACCGGATTGACCTGTATCTAGATTTTTTTACAGGTTTTAGGTTAAGATCACTCAGCACTCTTTCGAAACTACAAAAAAGCGGAATGATTTTCGTTTGGAAAAAGAGTGCTGTTGTGTCAGAAACTCTCTGACAAGAAAAAAAGTTCATCATCTTTACCATGGCACAAGCCTGTCCGTAGGCTGTCTCAGAGGTGTATAGGGGAGGCTCAGCGGTTAATGTACAAACAGTGGGGCGAAGTGGGCTAAGTATGGACATCGTAAAATTTCTAGATGCTGTTAAACTTTTTCCAGAGAAGACTCTGAGGCACACCAGAGAGCCTGCATCCCAATAGCGCTGAAGTTACTCGAAGTGATCTTCTGCTTTCTTTTTACGCAGCTTCGCAATAAATCACCTGGTGAGGAGCTTGTTTCATTCAGTGATGCATTTGTTCCCGGAAAGAAATCAGAATTGTGGGGAACGCTGAACTTCAGAACACTTGCAGCACACGAGCTGATGATGGGACTGGTTAGCCCAGGATGACGTAAGGAGAGGGGATAAGGAGGAAGGAGGGAAAGCTTATCTTTAGGAAGCTAATTGAGGTTCTTGCTATGGAAGTAAATGTGTGTGGGTTGGGAGTGGATCGGTCAGTGAATCGGACCAGGAATCTTCCCTAGCTGCCCTGGGTCACCCTTTGGAGGTGAGGGTCAGTGCTGTAGCTCGAGCAGCCTTTGGGAAGGACGTTGCCTCGCTATCGCCTTGGTGGGGAACAGTCTTGCTGAGGGACAAGTTCTATATTCTCTGGTGGAGTTTAACTGTTTCTTCTAACAGTGTTTTGATGGCTCGTGGTTGAGTGAGAGGATACTGGATTTTAGCTAGGCTATAGTTTTGATCCTAGACGGTGGCTCTTTCCTAGCGATTCATTGGTACCTACCTTGAAAAGACATGTAGGTTATGCCTGTGACGTGCAAGTGTATTCTTCCAGCCATAAAACGACACCTTCTTGCTGTTTGTCAGAAAGGCCACGGTTCTTGTAGAACTTGCTTTCCCCAGCGTGGCACTTACCTTTCCTAATGAGCTGTGCGTAACCCAGCGTTCCTGTCCCAGAGAAGTGGCAGCTCACGCTGGACAGCAAGTCCCACTAACCGGTATAAAAGTTGTCACCTGTAGGAACAAGAGGATTGTGTGTGTCAGCGTCTCTGTGTTAATTTCATCCCTGCTGCCCCTAATGGCTAACAGATGTGTAAAAACCCTAAACCACCTCATTGCTGTGTTTGGAAACAAAGGCAAAAGGTATTGTTTGGTACCTGCCTGAAACCCTATCTGCATTCTTACCTGTCAGGCTAAGAGGGCTTTTTCAGGCTGTTGTCCAGGTGCTTTAGCAGAGGCTGCCTTTGAGAAACAGACCCTCGCTCTATGCTCCTATTAGATCAACCTTAAAAAAAGAAAGCCAACCCTCTCCAGGGCTGCATCCAAAGAAGTGTGACCAGCAGGACCAGGGAGGTGATTCTGCCCCTCTCCTCCGCTCTGGTGAGACCCCACGTGCAGTACTCCCTTCAGTTCGGCAGTCCCCAACATAAGAAGGACGTGGACCTGCTGGAGCAGGGTGCCCCTCCAACCCCCTCGGGCCCTGCCCGGTTCCCCCCC